CCAGAGTATGGGCTATTCGTTCATAAGCATCTACTATATTCGTACAGTCTGCTTGCATTCATCGAAAGTGTGTGTTATAAGCTCATCAAATAGAATTTTAAATGGTAAGATTCGATTACTGTATATTGATGGCGATTTGTGGTGAAGTTCTTCTTTTTCTCGCAGTTATCATCTCTAAATGTGGTAAGTCTTATATCATGTTAACGTCACAATAGTTGTTTGTTTTTAGCCTAGGCGGAGAATTAGGGAGATGTAACGATGTAATAAATGTAATATGTTAACCAATCAAAAAGATGTCTATCTCATAAACTTTTTCGTAAAGAAAAACTATCAAAAGAATTGTACCGAATGAGATCATTGTCGTAAACCCCATTTATTGCTAGGTATTGCTTTCCATTGCAAACAAGTATTAGAAACCATTCGCGCGAGTTAAATGATATACTGGTAAAAAATTAGGCCATCGTCTTTCATCGTTAATGTGTTTAGCAGAGTATGTATTTGATCGGTTGCGTGGCCTTAGGAGATGACACAGGAGGGCATGCCCCCCCCCCCCTCTTTACCCTGAGGTGGAAAACAATTAAATGAGAAACAAAATGAGGTGAGAGAGAAATTATGAACAGGCAAAAAGGAAAATGTGAAAATAAGAAAGGGAAAAGGACGAGCAAAATAAAGACACCCAGACCACATTCTTTACCCATCTCCTAATCAGTAAATTCCCATTTATTTTTCTGTATACGTCTGATGCCCCAGCCTCCCCTACCATCCCCATTTAGTGCGTGGACTTGCGTTACCTTACTGTATTCGGTGCATGCTAAAGGAATATGACAGGTTCATTTCCTTGTTAATATGTTTTTTTTTTTTTAACCCATGCAGGATACCATGCATTTGAAGTGTCTATTCTGACATCAAACTCTCTTCCAGTCATTGGCGAGGATTTCACAATGGTCTGTACTTTCACGCCGAAAATCAGATATCGGCGGCTAGTTTGGGCTAAGAGTAACAACATCGTGGTAGCCTCTGACTCTTGTGTGCCGCAATGGCCTTGTGTATTGTCCTATGGTCCTTACCCTTCGAAATTCAACCTTTTGGCAGACACTAGCAGTGGAAATTTGACACTTAAAAAGCTTGACATAAATGATAGCGACAGTTACCAGTGCAGAGTAAGCAGTACTTACAGGGAAGAGAGTCCAGGATCAATTAGCATGCAAGTGACACCGTTGCCGCCAGGTATGTTATTAATTATAATTAATTTACACAGGAAACGTGAAGGATAACATATGGCTAATTCATGATGTGAAAATATGCTTTTGATTAAAATCGTAATCAAACCTCTCTTTTCCTGTCTGGTATTATGTGAATATTACTACATGAAAATGTAAGACAAACACAAGTCTCACGTGTTCACATGCTAGTAAATAGACAAAGTAATTGATACATCCGTATCAAATCATTATTCTTGATGCGTCCTGATAATGTCGACAACATTTTAGTTTGCAGAATATTGAGGGTTCGGTAGATGCTACGGTACAGGGAGGGGAATACTAACATGTTAAACGACAATGGTCTTTTGAATCGCATTAAGCAACAACATTAATAAGTTATTAACTTAAACAAAGAATACTGCTATTGCTTTTAAAGGAACTATGTTAATGAAAAGTAGTATTCCAATGTCTAATTTTGAAAGGCTGAGTGTACTGTGATTTGAATGAATTAGTGAATCCACAAGTAGACTATCATTAACGATTACCTCTTTTGTCGCCAGTTCCGCCCTATTGGCTCGGGATTACTGATGTAAGGTCGAGCCGTTATTACCCTAGCAACGCCAATTTAACGGTAACTGCTGGTGAGCCGCTTGATATCACTTGTACAGCCGACAGGGCGAGGCCTTCTGCAGAAATAGAATGGCGTATACCAGATGATGTAACCGTTGTTATTCTGGATCAGTCCAATGTTATACAAGGCAACAAATATTTATCTAGGAAGACTGCCACAATCACGCCCTCTACGAATGATCAAGGAAAGATTCTACGCTGTGTGGTATCACACCCAGAACTACAAAATAATCTTCAACGCTCGGTTCAATTGAATGTTCACGGTAAGTAATTGTATAAAGTAGGGGTCGTGTCTTCTTTTGCTAACTCGATATGTTTTGCTCAATTAAGATGGCAAAATTGGAGCAGTTTTTAGGGCAATTTGTTATCAATATTTACGAATATTTGTTTAGGTGATTCATATTTTCTCTCCAAATATATTCTTTATAGCCAATATGTTCATACGTTCAAAGAAAATACAACTCTTTCTAGCGTTTCTTAAATGATTGTGTAAATGTGTTTTTTCTTCTCAATTCTCTTACATTAAGTTTTACCCGCTAGCATGTTCCTTTTTCCAACTGGAGATAGCGAAGAATACGGAAAATTAACAGTCATTTACGTTCAGGAATATTCTTTGACTTCAATCACTTGCAAAAGTATTGGATCACTACCACCAACTGAACTGTCATGGAGACTTGACGACAACAAAAGTCTTCCCAGTAACATAAGTCATTCGAAGTATCGCAGTACTTTAGATGGAAGTTTGTTCGACACCGAAAGTACCATCAAGATACATCCAGAAAGGAAACACCACGGGATGTACCTTTGGTGCTTTGCATCAATTGGAGACTTCCTTGATCATCTGGCAGCTCAATTGGTGGTTTACGGTGAGTTTAGGTTCTTCAAAATGCCGGAATTCTTTCTTCATTAAAATATGTTGGAAATGTTTTGAGTTCAAAGTCCAGTTCATCACTAAAAATTAAAAAGATGTTACTGTTTTGTTTATCAATATATACCCATTTACATCGAAATTGTCATTATAGTGAACAATTTGGCGTTGCCTGTAACTGACAGGGGGAAGCAAATGTTTATCATCATGTTGTCCCTCCTCCTGGCAGTATATCTAAATATTACGTATATACTATTCTATATTTTACCAAAGTACCCATAACTCCATTTTACATTTCTATTTCAAGGCCCACCAGATGTCAAAATGACAACTCCCGATGATCTACGAGATGGTATAGAAACCAACGTAAGCTGCAAAGCTGTTAATGGATACCCTGCTCCGCTCATCCATTGGTACATCGGATCGAGAAATGTGACACATGACTCGTCTCTTAAGGCTTCAATGAATGTAGATGATAGTTATGATGAAAGCACCCTCAACCTCAATCCAAACAGGTTTTATCACGGTAAACCTCTCTTGTGCCAGGCAGTTCAACATACAACACGCATAATGCGGTTAGTGAATGATAGCAAGATGCTGAACATATCATGTGAGTATTTTTTTTTCATTTAAACCTTTGGTAAAGAAAATATATTGAAAAGATCTCCTAAAGCTGCGTAGAATATTTGTCTTTCAACTATTATCAAGACTCTTCGATTGCTTTTCTACCCTTATATTCTACACAATGTTTTCCCATATGTATGTAACATTCTGTAAATGCTTGTTATTACCCATGGCAGTTGCATATGGAAAACAATCAGTAAAGATAATAATCTATATGTCCATTTGTATATGTACGTTAATTCAAGTCCCATCACAAAAACCTAAATTGACCTACAAGTTCCTACCTCCACCCATACCTATCCTTCTATTTTATATCACGTCTTTTCAAAACGTATTCCGATATATTTATATTATCTAGACATTCCAGTTGCGTCCGTTTCTTCTCGACGGCTAGCATCAAATGAAGTACGTAATGGGTTCGTGTTGACATGTACTGCAGACGCCAATCCTTCTGCTTTTAACTTCCAATGGTTTTGTAATGGTACACAGTTGTCTAGCGACTACCTTCATATAACACTCTCCAAGACTATACAAGAAGGTGAAACACTGTCTTTCAGTGAAGTGGTGATTCGAAATCCCCTGTCCGAAGATCCGTGTGATTACATCTGCATAGCTGTGTCAAGATACGGTTCCGGTAGTGCAGTCTTTAACTACACGTGTTCTCGTAAGTAGAACTGTATTTCTCATTGTTTATTTAGTTTAATTTGTGTCTTGTCTAACTGATACTCTATGTTCATTGAATTAACTGGCTTTCGAATAAAAACATTAAACTTATATCCATAAACCCCGTCTTCTATTACTCATTAAGGATTCAAGTTATTGAACTAAAGAAACCAGACCGTACTAATTTTGCATTTACGCTTCACCACTGATTAACCTTATAATGCAGTTGTTCCCTATTCACTTTCTTGGCTTATCGTCGACCAAAATCAAACGACATATTTAACTCTCTTCGTTGCCTAGCAATCTGAATTCAACATCGGGTTACAACATAATTGGCATTATTAAGAGGTCAAAGTAAAATGCTACAACATTTCAATGGTTGACTGATAATATAATTTAATATAGGATTTCTCGGTCACTTTCGTAAGCTTCTCATTCGTTTTGATACAAAGTTCATTCAAATTCGCGAAATAAAACTGCCGGCGTGTAAATTTCATTCAACTTAACACTTTTTTCATTTGATTTACTTATTTGGTCAGTGGATTCAGCACTTGTTTCATTCAATTTAACAACCGCTTACAAATGCGCAGTTTGCATTCATTTTCATCAACAATGGCAAATCGGACGTCCGTACCATTCAATTTCACTTTGGGTCATTCTAAATAACAAAGTTTTTATTCATATTCGCCTATCTTTACAAACCTATGGTAAACATGGTATATGCACATGTTTCTCATCTAAATTAAACAAATAACATGCCATTCTTGGGCAATATCCGGTGATATGTATTTATAAATAATTCCTTGCATACCAACTAAGGGTCATAGGTTTCAACAGGTGGAGGACAGGAGGGGCATGTCCCCCCCCCCCCCCCCCCACGTTTGAACGCTATTCATGTTGACGCCATTGCTAAGGGTATATAAATGGGTAGGTAATGCTGATATCTCTCTCTAGTAAAATTATCTTTCGGCTAATATACACTCTCAAAGTTCCTTCTGGTTCCCGCTATCATCATGGATGCTCACGTTAGATACAGGTGCATTTCGAACGAAGATCGAGACCGACTCATCGACGCCTTCGACGGTCATCAGGCCGACTACCTGGAGCTGGCAGATACGCTTGGTATCAAGCGTTCCACAGCAAGATCCATCGTGGCCAACTATCTGCGGACGGGGAATCGCCATAAGCTGGCAAGAGGGGGAGCGAACAACTCCAAGATGGATGATGACATGAAAGCGCGACTTCAACACGTGATCGACGCTAACCCCCTTGCTACTCTCCAGCAAATGAAGACTGATCTTGCGGCAGCTCTACCTCAAAAGCCAGCTGTATCTATCGCTACCATATCAAGAGCACTTGACGGAATGCTCATATCATTGAAGCTGGCGGAGGACGTACCTGAAGGCCGTAATGCCCAAAGAACTATTGATCTGCGCTTCGAGTACGCCGAATGGTTTATGGCGGAGGGTGTAGAAGCCCATCTCGTGTTCATAGACGAAACGGGGTATAACATTTGGACGAGACGTTCGTTTGGAAGGGGACGTCGTGGAGAGCCAGTTCGCAGGGTCGTACATGGACAGCGAGGACAAAACGTAAACATTACGTTCGCCGTATCTGGCGAGGTGGGACTTGTACACCACACAATTTCAAGCGAAACAACAACACGGGCAAGTTTCGAAGAATTCCTTGCGGGGACTGCCCGGCAGTGTGTGGACATGTTTCCACCGGAAGATCAGGTGTTCTTCATCTATGACAACGCCAGACCACATGTTCGCGCAGAGCTGCCCGCGGACGTAGATCCAAACATCCACCTCAAACGCCTGCCTCCTTACTCGCCTTTCCTTAATCCCACCGAGATGGCAGAGGGTAGGGGATCGCGATGCGGCTCAAGAAGCTGGAATGACAATGGGGGAACACCGCCGTGAACTTGTCCAGCAAGTTGCCAGACGCAACGTCGACGCCATCACTCCGGTGAAGAGCATCCGCTAGTACCGCCACATGCAGACGTACATGCCTAGATGTCTTGCCCGTCAACATGTAGAGGGTTAAACAACTCTAGATATAAGATTGGACATCATCTTACTGATCATTAAAATATATATAACCAAAACAAGATTTCAGATTGTATACGTGTATTCTTTAGTTTATGTCCACATGATTTGAGTTATTGAGATGTGCGCGTGAGAAAACAATGTATCAACCTCATTAATGATTGCGTAGTGTGATTGTGATCGTGATTGTAATTTAGATGTCGATTACGATTGTGACTGAGATGGTAATTGTGACTGTGATCACGATCGTGATTGTGATTCAGTGTGATGGTGATTCAGATTTTGATGTGATTGTGATTGAACTGGTACTCATAGATTGTTTTTAACATGTTCAATACAGACTAAATACAATTTACAGAAATATAAATAGCTTCAAAGAGATTACCAACATCGAATAAATTATCGAAAACAAAACCAAACAAAACATTAAAAATAAATCAATGTATACAGTATTGATACCCCCCCCCCCCACACACACACACACCATTATGGTACGCCACTCCAATAAATACAACCGTAGCCTGTAAACACACACTTTGCATGCACTTATATCATTGCATATTCATAAAAAGACAGTCTGAAATGGATTTAGCATGGAACTAAGCTTGCGAGGTTCTATATATGATCATACTGGGTAAGATTTACATGTTTAATTTGTCTGCAAAACGTGTGAAACTGTATGCAAAGAAACGAATTTGAATTCACGGAAGACGCTATTACGTAATCGCGAATCGTCTCGCTTTAAATTGAATGAACATTTTACGAAAAAGAAACACGTTTTAATTCGAATGAAAATGAAATGTTTTTGAATGATCGTTTTAGGAATTTAAATGCTAAAAAATGAATTTGAACGAAAAATAACAGCTGCGGTGACAGAATCGGCGAAATTGAATGAACAGAAAATGAATTTGTGTGGCCAACTTACGAAAGTGACCGAGAAATCCTATATTTTACTGTTTAAGGTGCTAGTTAGACTAAGTTTTCGAAACCCCCTTTGCATTTAATGGACATTTCCAATAATGTCATTCAGAAAGATAAATTGCTTTCACTTCCGTAGCGCAAGAGAGAATTTGATTTGCGTGTCAGTCACTGTTCCATTCATTCTGCCATTTAAAACCGATATTGCTTCCTCTTCAGTTTTTATCTGCAGATATTCTGGTAAGATGCACGTTGGTTCTTGACACAAACGTCCACGGTTTGAATATACAGGGAGAGACAATCCATTAATGACAATATGAATTATTGTCTTCGAATATTTTTCTTTCTTGCCTTTACCACTTCTAAAACGTATGAAATGAATGTGTCTACTCGTATTTGGAACCCAAAAGTCCTCCCAGTCGTTGGAGAGAATCACTTGCCTGCATTTATACGCCACCATCCACGTCTCGGCTACTGTCTTGGCAGGATGAGAACGGCAATATACTGGCAATCGATAAATGTCAAGGAGTTGGATGCAGCAACGAGCTAAATGCTCCAGATGTATCAAAGTACAGTTTGAGGGCAGATTCTTCCAGCGGAAATCTAACTATTAGGGATTTAACATTGGATGACAGCGGCAGATACCAGTGCTTAGTAGGCCCTTTTTCTGATGCAGCTTCCGATGCGATTGATCTGAAAGTGGTGCTATCAGGTAAAATGTTATGTTGTTAGGGAGTGGAGATTGTGCACATAGTGTGTGCGGGCAAGCACTGAATCCAATGACCGGAGTAATAGTATATTTGTAAAGCGATTAGAGACATTTGTATTAAGTGCTAAATAAAAATTAAATATTATTATTATTATTTATTTATTATTTTCGGTATACGTATTCAAAGTTCAATTAAATGTGGTATAATGATAATACGGTTAGATTTGTGTCACTGTACGAAGAGAGACATATTTCCAAATATCCTAATGTCATTTGTGACTGATAATCATGCCACTGCAGTAACTGCTATTTTGCTATAATGATAATGGTTCAAGTGTGGTAAATTTGTGTCTCAGATGTCATAGTCTTTGGGAGATATCTCGCTTGATAATGTTATTCTAAGAATTAAAACGGTATGCATGTTGTTTTTCTTCCAGCCGAACCTAGATTGCTATCCATCACTGACGGCCGGACTGAGAATGGATACAAGAATGGAGAATCAGTGAGCATCACATCTGGGCGAACCCACAACCTAACATGTTCAGTCCAAGACGCTAGACCACCTGCAAAACTAGAATGGCACATTCCTGAAGAAGTGCAGGTTCAACTGAAAGATCAGTATAACGCTGTTCATGGTGACGCTTACACCTCTCGAAGAGTTGTTTCCGTAACTCCGTCCAGGGAAGATGATGGAAAGGTTTTCCGCTGTGTGGCATCGCATCGAGAGCTGGATAATGAGCTTCAAATATTCATCCAATTAGATGTTTAAGGTGATTATCTTACTAATGATATCATCCCATGTTCGCTCGGTGTGTGTGTTCTACCTAATGGGTGAATATTCCTCCCGAGTGTCAGGATTTTCTTAAATGAATGAAACATTTAACATCTTCTAAATCGTTTCTCACTCTTCTGTATCTTTTACATTCTTGTAGGGAGTCACACGAACGTCACTAGATCCTATGATGCCTTCACCGATATTATACTGTTATTATATTGTTAGCGATATTTCACGTCAGTATTTCTCCTTTCAGTAGCCTACTCCGTATGAATATGTGGGTTCTTATTTTGTCTTCCTACTCAGTACCACCAAATGACCTCCAGCTTACCGCGTATGGATCCATAGCTATCAATGTAACAGAGACACGAAGTGTCAACGTATTTGAAGATTCTGCAACATCATTCACCTGCAATAGTGTAGGATCTCGTCCAAAAGCTGTTATATCATGGATCATTGGTTCGGACGACGACCTAGGAAGCACGACATCTACATCTACCACGAATGAGGCCGACCAAAGTCTACGTGACACGAAGTCCATTCTACAGTTGATTCCAAGGAGGAGGCATCACAATAAACTCCTTCAATGTGTGGCCCATGCTGGTATAAATCAAAGTCACACAGAAGTGAGGGTTATAGTGTTTGGTAAGTATTCGTACGTTGTATTTAATGTTATCTCACCTTCTCTAACTCACAAGAGCTGACGTAATGCGGACTTGGACATACTTTAAAACGTTTAGACATATATATGTACCTGATGTAAAACTATATAATTCGAATAACCGGGTTAACTCATACCACGGTTTGTCAATTCTGCGATAAGATATCTCTAAAGAGTGAAAATGTAGAAAAATATGTAGTGACAAACCTTAGGGACGGCTAAAGCAAATTCCTTTAGATATCAACCGATGTGTTCCTGTTGTCGGAATATTTGAGAGTCATTGGCCATTGTTGTTAAAACATATCATCAGGTTTAATTTCCTGTATCCTGTTTTAAGTCAATAATAAAAACAAATTGTGACATAAGAAATGCACTTTGATTTTTAAGGACCACCGGATCCTCCCTACCTAAGTGGAATGGAATGGTTGCAGGATGGAGTGTCATCAAACGTGACTTGCACATCCAACAATGGCTACCCAGCACCAACCTTCCAGTGGTACCTTGGATCGAAGAACGTTACCAAAGATTCTAATACAGAGTCTTCGAGGAATATAGATCATCGACTGGATGCCATGAGCGTTTTAAATATCACACCCACCGTAGACGAAGATGGTGAACTCCTTGTCTGTCAAGTTGTTCAACGAAACGCTTCATCCGTGAAGTCTTGGAGTGTCAGTGAGATTCTTCATGTTCTTTGTAAGTCTGATCTATTTAAGCCAAAATCATTGATTGGGTAGATCTTATTACGAGGCAGGTATATTATGTTGCGTCACCGCCATAGAAACATTACTACCGTTCACATATTTTGTGTTAGCATCATGTGCAGCTGTGAGCCGGCGATTATATTTACTTTTCTATGATTATTTTGAACAGCCAAAGTACGCTTTTCGTTTTACAAACATCACCTGGCTTGATTGTATATCCTTTTACAAAATACTGTTTGTGTTTCAAGAACATTTATGAATTATACATGTTTGGTTCAGATTAATACCTAAGTATACCATATACATGTAGAAAGACCATTCTATGTTACGATAACAGTGCTGACATGCTGGTTTTACACAATATTGATAACTATTAAAACATGTAATACTTACGCTAATAAGGAACACCATCTCAAATATTATTTTCCTGAGCCTCGCATTATTGTTCCCTGAACGTATTTTGTTCTTTCTAAATACAAACATGTAGATTCTCCTGCCATTGTGGACTACTCTGTTCGTCGGGTTTACATTGGTCACCACAATGTTGATGCCATTATTACATGTACATCAAATAGCAGACCCCGAGCCTCAATAACATGGTTCTTGAATGGCAAGGAACTCATCAATGCCACCCGCCATCACATTCACCACAGTCATCCACAAGAAGATACCTTAAGGACGAGTATTCTGATTATTGTAAATATTTCGGCAGAAGACGATGGCAACTATACATGTTTGGCTGCTACAAGGCTTGGGAGCGACAGGGCAACAGTAACATTTTCATATTCTGGTAAATCGTTCCCTATCAGACCAAGGCGCATTTATTATTTAAAATTATTGTGTCCTATTGTTAAGATAACACATTGCCTGGTACAGTGCTGTACCAATTATAATCCAAGATAACAAATGAGAACAGTGTCATACTGCTACGATTGTATAACGTAGGTATTGAGATGATAACCCAGTTACAGTAACTATCGGGAAATGTTACGGTAGATTATTTTGTCGACCTTGATGAAATATTAAACAAAATCCGAATGAAAATTGATATGGGGTTTCAGTCGGGTTGAATATTGTAAAACTGCCTAAAAAAATGGGTGAACGTAA